GGACGCAAGATTGGCCTGGGCCACACATCGTCCTGTGCAAACTGAACTGAACTGAACAACCTGACCTGACCTGACTTCAAGGTCAGTGGCCTTGGATTTTGGTGTCAAAGCGTCAACCACTTATTTTGGAGATGGAGGGTTTGCCTCGTATTTCTGTCGTCAGTCTCCCACTGAAAGTCCCGGGAGATCCTCCAGATTTAAGTCCTATGGCCAAGGTATGAATATCTTACGTTTTTTCTACAGTCCCAGGATATCGAAATGCATTACCAGCATTCTTCGGCAATGTATAGAGACGAATTTACGGATTTTTTAATGGCTCGAAAGGTCAGTGCTATCAAATCACCTAATAGAAAAGTTAGGCAGCTTGTGAGCCTTCAATTGACTACACTGGGCTCTCCAAACTAAAGCGATATTACGCTCAGCTTCAGTTGACTAAAGGTCGATTTCAGTTCTCTGCTCAAGAAAATACAGCTGTTTTATGGACATGGTGAGGAAAACGCTAGTTATCCATATATTGTTTAAAGGAATGATGCTTTCTCCAATTCCCCCTACGAGAGCCTTGATGTTGGCTTTGAGGAAGCAGCTATCTTGTTCAATATCTCCTCACTCCACACCATTTTGGGTGCTAAAGAGAGACGCATTGATGCTGATGTGAGTTGAACGCTGGTCTTCGGTTCGCTTTGTTTCTTCCGTATCATTCAGGTGACTTAGGCATTACTTCTGCGGTAATATTATCTTGGTGTTCTAATCACTAGTTTAATTGGTCAAGGTTGCTGATTCTAGTCTGAACGGTCCATCAGTGATTGCTCACGACCTTTCCCGTATTCCGTTTAATGCCACATAAAGCCAAATATTAGAACGATCAGCAGTTTTTGTTGTATGTTTTGTGTATAATGTTGGGAATGAGTTGTCTAGCTTAAGCTAGTATTTCAGCAGTGATAATGAAAACCCGGAAGTAGAACTATTCAAAACAGAGACATTGCACGATGCCGAACTCATCTGTGGGAAATTGTGTCGTTACGGTTCATTGTAGCTCATTACAAGCGCGCTGATATTAAAGGTAAATCTCAACTTTGCTGTTCCTATTAAGGGAGTTTAACTGAAAGATCACTGTCATTGTTTGAAGATACAATTGACTGTTGACAAAGTACCAACATCGGTTCTCGTAGCTCGAGTAAACTCAATTCCATTTAACCCGTAAGCGGAGCTTGATAATTTGTTTGTGAACGTTTCATTACCAGCCGAGTGGAAATGGAACACTATGAAATATTGAATAGAAAGGTTTTTTCTCCTTGAAGGGTGAGATTAATCTCAGCCCAGTTATTGTAACAACTGGGTGTAATCCAAGAGTTGTTGCTAGTAAACATCTAAACGCCACCGTGCTTCCTGCTTTGCCCAGCACGTACTGAAAGAGCTCAGAGAGATAGGCGATGGGCAGGCGTTGTAGGGCGATTATTTCTCTTGGAGCACGAATATTAGTACCTAACACGCGACGACGAAGTTCGTCATTGCCTCTAAAATGTTCACACTGCACACGAGCAAGGCTTCAGGGACATCAATGGAGGAATACAGAAAGTCATCTTTAATGAGGAGGGCCAGGTCTCACAGTCGTAAAAAAACTACGAACCGCAGCGATGAACACTCTTCCCTTAGGGGGCAGTCGGACGTCATATCGGCGTCGCAGGTGTGGCAGGTTGATCAAAGCTCCTCTAGCTTGCGCCATCCAACAACACCCTCAGCCATGATCAAGCTCCCAAAGCACTTACATCTCTCGTCCACTTCCGGGTAATCACTGCGAAGTGCGTTTATGCACAGGTTCCTTCCAATCTTGAACAAACACTTGGTACTTTGGTGGTGCAAAGATCCGTACCTGGATATCTCTATTGCCAAGCGGTTTAAAGCTTGTTAGACTGGCTGTGTATTGTCACACAACAAGGTGATGTCATTGGCATATTCTGAGCCAAGAACTTCTGTTCCCTGGGAGGATCTCAACTTCACTGTTCACTAGACCGGACAAAGCGTCCTGTAGTACATGCTCTATGACACAATTAAAGAGCAGTCTTGCGACAGACCATTGGAGACGGCAAAGGGTGGTGAAAGCCGTCCATGGGCCCGACTTGAGACCTCATGGTGCTATTCTTTGAGAGTAACCACACCGCTCATATACTCGATTTTTGAATAAACAGTCCCATAGTGCGGTCTTATCGACAGAGTCAAGGGCCGCGCAAATGTGTGATAGCACAATAATCGTTGGTCTGTGGTAAGCATGACGGTGCTCTGACAACTGTCGGATGGTGATTATCTGATCGATGCATTCACGTCCGATGCAAACCCCGGCATGCTCCTCGCGGGTCTGCCCCGCACGCTTATTGTACAATCTACGAAGAGCGATGAAAGCTAACAGCTTCGGCGCTATTGGGATCGGGCTTATATCCCTATGATTAGAGCAGTCTTTGCGCTGGCTCTTTATAAAGATAGATCGACAATCAATTTCCTCCCCCCTCCCTGAGAGCAGGGACCCGCCTAGCATGCCAAACCTTAGGTAACAGACTTGCTAATTCTCTAAGAAGCTTCATTCCACTAGCTTTAAATAGAGCTGGACGAAGGCCATCGGCGCTTTGGGACGTCCCAAGACATTGGGATCTCCCTGCCAATCTCCGTCTTGGAAAGTGGGTCTGTTGAGAAAGGCCATAAAACGTGTGCCGGAATAGGTCTATGGGAAGTTGACGCTGGTGGTCAGCTAATCTGTGCTTTGCAGTGCTCCACTTTGTGTGCAAGAAATCGCTGTCAATTGTGAATAAGCGAGGTGTCAGCTTCA